TTTAAATAATCTGCAAAGGGTTGATAAGCCGTAAAAACGAAGCAATCGATCAATCATATATTTACCGAGGGTATTTGCGCTTAAGTGAATTTAACGAACCCAACTGGAATTCGAACTTGGTTCTCCGAGTTCGAATTCCGAGCCCTTCTCGGTAAACTAAATAAAGTCTGATAATGGACCAAGAGTTAGCAAGCTAGGCTTGATGGGCATTATTAAGAAATAACGTGTTCAAGCCTTACAATATGCCCATAAATGTGTTAGTTTACCGTCGGCAGTTAAGTTTGATAATTACTGATAATGGCGGTTTCAAATACCGTTTGAAAATAAAGCACAGCGGGAAAAAGACCCCCCCTCCTTGTCATTTGTGGTTCCCCCCCCCCGACCCTCATCTGCCAGTTCGACAAGGTTCCAGCGATTTGACTCAAAGAAAAAATTTGACATTAGAGATCCTTCTCGAAGTGAGATGATTTATGGACTTCCAAAAGCTTTGTTTACGTTCGTTAACTGCCAAGTGACTTCGCCGAGATGGTTTTCTTCCTAGGAATAGTGGCTAACACTCTCAAAGACTACTTCAACATTTTTAAACAACCTACTTCTTTTTTAATTTTTATTAATTATTCACCCAATAAGAGGCCCAAGAACCAGTCAAGGTAGAGGGTTACTAATAGAGGCTGCTGCATGTACGATGTGGAGGTAAGAAGTGAAATTTATGAGGATATGTAGGAAAGACCGGTTGACCATAGACTTAGAGATTAAAATTGCCGTAATCTGGGAAGCATACTCTTGGGAGTTTTGCCACGAAGTAGCTGTTTCTTGGGAATATGATGCCCGAATGGGGATGATACGTCCATCTATATATAGCATAGCGGATCCACAAAACATAGCATCCATTTTCAAAATGAAACCAATGATGCATAGCAACAACCCTTGAACTGGAGCCGACGAAACGTAGCATCCAACCTTGCATTGGATCCAACGAAACATGGCGTCCAAATTTGCATTGGATCCAACGAAACATGGCGTCCAAATTTGCATTGGATCCAACGAAACATGGCGTCTATATTTGCATTGGATACAACGAAACATGGCGTCTAAATTTGCATTGGATACAACCAAACATGGCGTCTAAATTTGCATCGGATCCAATGAAACATGGCGTCCAAATTTGCAATGGATCCAACGAAACTCGGATTTGTATATATGGGGATTATTTAGGATTTTCATTGAGACAAGGAGGTATTATGTTGATTGTAGTAAGAGAGGTTAGTAAGAATGTTTTGTTTTGGCCACATTTTCTGTATTTTTCACAGAAATAAATATCGTAATGGTTTGCAAGCTTGCCTGGCTAGAACAATTACGACTTACTGAGTTCGATTCTCACTGGGTGTCCCCCCTAATTTTGGCCTTGTGCCATATCTAAGCTATGCTTGGAAAATCACTCTATAGAAACTCCAACATTGGCACGCAACCTGGATATTTGGAGGAAGCGGGTCAGTTGCTTAGTGATCTTTCTACTGCACACCCGTCATCAGATTGATGCCGAAGATGATGGTGATTGAAAGCTGTTCACAATAAATTCGTGTGTGGTCCATTTTCCTGGCCTTAATTTTTGGGTTATATCCAAGATAGCTCTTAACTTAAAACTATGAGTTTTCCTTTTAAGTTTCAACTGCTTTCAGCCAGGAAATTAATATTGCAAGCCGTCGACAGTAGGTTCGTGTATATGCCGTTTTTTGTTTTTTTTATTACCTTGATTTTATATCTAACAAAACCCCAACACTTAAAGCTGACTCTTAATTTTCAACCCCGTCTGCCTGCTTTGAGAGCTGTTAGGAAAATAATATTGCAAGCTATTGACAATAAATTCGTGTGTGTTCCATAAATGGACACTACTTTACACGAACGTTAATGGAGTCGACTAAACATAATCTGTTTTCAGAAAAACAACTTAAATTTTTACTGTAACCAACTATACCCTCCCCCTTTCAACATAATATGCCTGTTTGAGTCGTTGGAGTTGTGATTGTGTTTTTGTTTTTTTTGGGAACCGCAAACGACACACTAGTGAAAAAGCAAAAACCTTCTTACAGCTGGTTTAAAATTTCGCTTAAATTTTAAGAACAAAATGGCTTTAAAGCTACTCAGCCGTTATTGTTTTCCCATTATTCATTCCTGTCAAGGTTGACAAGTGGGGTAACAACATATTGCTGTTACGGTATTTAGAGGAGCGCGGCTTGCACAAGTTCTCAATCAATCACTCTTTTATCCCGTCAATGTTCGCGACATGCCAGTGATGAGACAATTTGTTAAGATATCTGTCTGTTGGACAGAGTTCAGGGAGAAACGGTCTCTTGCCTTTTTTTTTTTTTTTTTGTATTAATTCGAACCAAAGACAACAGCTGCTACTTCCATATTCCCTGCCAATAACCGTTACATCACCCCACATATCATTGTCGGCTTACGGCCACATCATGTTAAGCAACGTCGAACCTGGTCAGTAAATGGATGGGTAACCGCTAGGGAATATCAGGTGCTGTAAACTTAGATGTGCTGGTGGTGTAATGGATAATGGCTCGGAATTATTAATCGGAGAGTCAAATTCCAATTGCAGTTGGGTTCGTTATATTCACATATTCAACTATCCCTTGGAAAGGTATGAATCCAACTCTTCGCCCCCAGCTATAGATTAATTAGTAAGAGGCTGTTTGATTTACATATCAGAAGAACTGGACGACACTATAAAAGGTGTACAGGATACAGAAAGAACCGGTTGTGAACAAATAGGACATTATTCCTAAAAATTACTGTACAACACATACCATAGCTCCAGCGGGCTGCTCCATCCTAATCCAGGTTGATAGTACCTGTTAAGGTCTATATTTTTTATATAATATATTTTGTTGAAGCCGTAAAATTATGTTCAGAATATTTAGATTGCGGCATTAAATAACCCATAGAGATGTTAATATGCCGCTAAATAAAATCAACCAAATCAATCTAGCAAGCTGCCACACAGATATCCCTCTAAAACTTGAGTTTGGTAAACATATTTGGCATCTTAACCCAGAAATGAATGTAAAATAATAAAATAGTAACACAAATCGAGTTTTCTATTAACGTTACATCACACATCGCGTCCAACAGCTGATACATTAAATATAAACACTGGCCGATGCTCCATTTGATAGGGGGACAATCAGAAAACTATTGTAATAGAGACTCATTAAAAGGATGAGAGTTTGACCTGCGTGTCAATAATGTAACGGGTCCATAGTTTTGCCGTTCGCCACTTGAGTTTGTTGGCGTCACTGTTTGTTTGCTTACATCACTAATGCAAATGGCGGATAGGTGATATTGCGTTTTACAATAACATACGATACGCAGCAGTAATATTTATATATATATATATATATATATATATATATATATATATATATATATATATATAAACTTCATGGTAAGATGTGTAATCTACGGTATTAATATTTTATGGAAGCTGATGTTGACTCTAATCTTTTGAGCCATGACCACTGCTTTCACCGGTGGTAGAGAAAAATGACGTAATGCCCAGTCACCGGTTGAACAGTGGTAGAGAAAAATGACTTAATACCCACCTACTGCTTGAACAAGTAGGTAAACACTTGTGACTATTTTTATATCTACCGTGAAACATTACATACCAATTATTTGCGAATTTCCACTCAGGAGCTCAGATAGAAGCATTCAGGAATGTAAAGCTCAAGGGGTTAATGTGTTTATCACTTTATTTTTAAATGTTCGCTAAGTTACACCGATACAATTTTAATGACAAAAGTACGTAGGTGTAGGTTTTAAGAAAGCTTTATTCAACTAAGAATACAAGGTTCGCGTATAGTGTCCTTTTATAGTCCCAGTAAACAGAAATAGCTCTCTTAAAGAGGAGAGTAACAAAACAAGGGGAGATCACTCTTGATTATTCATATCAACAATATTCGATACCTACCGGTGTGTGTTGCATATTTTTGCTATACAGCGCATGTAGAAAGATATTACTGTCAGTGTCTGAATATACAAGTGAGTGGCTTGAGATTATCTAGTTTGGGAACAGATTATCGTATGCTATATCCTAGCTTCATTTATCAGTAGGCCAAAGTTTTGGGTAACTGGTAGCCCACCGTATCTTTGGGGGTAAATGTGTGTTGTCGTGTTAATAGAATACCGCATTTGTTAACAGGTGGCGTGTATAGTAAATTCACAGATGACGCAACTGCTGTGTCCTTGTGCCATACTAGAATACACTTAGTAACTAGTCACACACACAAAAATCTAGCACAGATCTCATATATGTGAATGCACATAAGCGACTTCCCAAATTTAGTTTGGTTTGGTTTGTTTTACGGCATATCAACACCTCAATGGGTCATTTAATGCCGACAACTTTTTTTTTCCTGGTAATATTTTGTTTTGTCAAAAATCCATTTCTGGTAAAAAAAATGAAGAGCTGGTAATATTATTTTAAAAAAAAATGCTGGTAATAGTTCGTTTTTCTTCAAAAAAGTATTTCTGGTAATAATTTTTTTAAGAAAGTTTTTCTGGTATTAAAACCTATTTTTAGACTTTTATAATGCTTTTTAGCTCAGTTTCGGGGTTAACTATTTGCCCATAGCTGGGACCCTAACAGGTGCTACCACCCCAGGTCAGAGTGGACCTGGGAACACCAGCAATTAAGAAGTGGTTCCACGTTCTTCAAAACCTCCTGGTCAGAGGCCTTGCTGTTGGACGTATTTATCGTCATACCCTGGACGCGGATGTAGTTTATCGTCATATCCAGGACGGCCCAAATTTAGCGGCACCAACCGATTGAATATGAAATGAATTTGAAAAAATATATTGATCTTCGAGATTAATAAGGATTTTGTCGTAGATATAAGTTGCCATAAAATATGACATACAACAAGTCGTTCGGGCGTACAAGACAAGCTCAAGATTTTTAGCTGAAAATTTTATTCACCTTTGGTATGACATTTGTATCTGGATTTTATGTGTGTGTGACTAGTTACTAAGTGTATTCTAGTATGGCACAAGGACACAGCAGTTGCGTCATCGTGAGAATTTACTATACACGTCACGTATTTCAGTGTGTTTGGTTTTCATAGCTTTAATTTATTTTTGTTTGTTTTAAATGTTTCGATGTTTTCTTCGCCATGAATATACAGTTTTGTTCTCATGAACGTCTCTCCCAGAGAACTTGACAGATTGTGCTAAATTTTGACTGCTGATTCTTACGTTCACCAACCCAAAGAATATAAACGCCATGTTTGCTTTCGAATTCGGTGTGTAAGTTTCTTTGTTTCGTAAACTGGACTCTAAGACTCGCATTTTTGGTAAACAGAACTGGTGAAAAAAAATATAAGCCAGCTTCTCACGTTCCTTGAAGACCTCAAATAATGGACCACGGGCTTTTCTTTTTTTTTGTGTTGTTGTTGTTGCTATTTTTAATCTCTCTTCGCAGCTGTTTCTAGTGTTATCTGAAGATTTGCGAGTTTTAGTCCAACTTAGTCGAGAAGTCCTCGTACTTGAGCTGATGAACGAATAAGGCTTTTCAAATGGTGAATGGTGCTGGATTGTGTTTTCACGAAATATGATCGTCCTGACAAAACCGAAAACGATTTGCTCGTTTTTGACAATAAATAAATGTGCCGCGACCTTATGTCTACGAGAAAGAGGGACTATTTGATGAATACACAAACCAATTGTGAATGTTGACTTTCCAGATATAAAGGCCTTCCTCACGAGAAAGAATGACGCAACATAATCTTCCAGTACGTCGTTTTTTGTTTTTTTGGGGTTTTTTTTTCATTTCACTCTGTGCTGATGTAAAGAAAGAAAGAAAGAAGACAGAGAAATGGACAAGAAAGAAAGTGTAAGAAGAAAGAAAGTGAGTAAGTGTAGAAAGAAAGAAAGAAAGACAGAAGGAAAGAAAGTGAGTAAGTGTATAAAGAAAGAAAGTAAGTGTAGAAAGAAAGAAAGAAAGTGTAGAAAGAAAGAAAGTGAGTAAGTAGTGTAGAAAGAAAGAAAGAAAGAAAGTAAGTGTAGAAAGAAAGAAAGTGAGTAAGTGTAGAAAGAAAGTAAGTAAGTGTAGAAAGAAAGAAAGAAAGAAAGAAAGAAGGAAAGAAAGTGAGTAAGTGTAGAAAGAAAGAAAGTGTAGAAAGAAAGAAAGCAAGAAAGTAAGTAAGTGTAGAAAGAAAGAAAGAAGGAAAGAAGGAAAGAAAGTGAGTAAGTGTAGAAAGAAAGAAAGTGTAGAAAGAAAGTGTAGAAAGAAAGAAAGCAAGAAAGTGAGTAAGTGTAGAAAGAAAGAAAGAAAGAAAGAAAGTGAGTAAGTGTAGAAAGAAAGAAAGTGTAGAAAGAAAGAAAGTGTAGAAAGAAAGAAAGCAAGAAAGTAAGTAAGTGTAGAAAGAAAGAAAGAAAGAAAGAAAGAAAGAAAGAAAGAAAGTGTAGAAAGAAAGAAAGCAAGAAAGTAAGTGTAGAAAGAAAGAAAGAAAGAAAGAAGGGAGAAAGAAAGTAAAGAAAGAAAGAAAGTGTAGAAAGAAAGAAAGTGTAGAAAGAAAGAAAGCAAGAAAGTAAGTAAGTGTAGAAAGAAAGAAAGAAAGAAAGAAGGAAAGAAAGAAAGTGAGTAAGTGTAGAAAGAAAGAAAGTGTAGAAAGAAAGAAAGTGTAGAAAGAAAGAAAGCAAGAAAGTGAGTAAGTGTAGAAAGAAAGAAAGAAAGTGTAGAAAGAAAGAAAGAAAGAAAGTGAGTAAGTGTAGAAAGAAAGAAAGTGAGTAAGTAGAAAGAAAGAAAGAAAGAAAGAAATAAAGTGAGTAAGTGTAGAAAGAAAGAAAGAAAGAAAGAAAGAAAGAAAGTAAGCAAGTGTAGAAAGAAAGTAAGTGTAGAAAGAAAGAAAGAAAGCAAGTGTAGAAAGAAAGTTAGTAAGTGTAGAAAGAAAGAAAGAAAGAAAGAAAGAAAGTTAGTAAGTGTAGAAAGAAAGAAAGAAAAGAAAGAAGTAAGTGTAGAAAGAAAGAAAGAAAGAAAGAAAGAAAGAAAGAAAGAAAGAAAGAAAGAAAGAAATGCAAATAGACGAAGAGAGAGAAACAGAGAGAGAAACAGAGAAAGTGACAATAATAGAGAAATTAAAAGAGACTCAGAAAAAAAGAAAAAAAGAAAGAAAGAGACAAAGAAAGAAAGAAATTAAAAGAGACAAAGAAAGAAAGAAAGAAAGAAAGAAAGAAAGAAATTACATTGAATACTTATAAGACCTTACTATGTGGCTGAGGTAGTTACGTTAGCGGTCGGTGTTTGAGGCCTGCTAAAGGTCATAATTTCGAATGCTAATTTAAAATAAATCGTCACGCCCTCTCCGCAATTGGCTGAATGTATGACATTTTTTTTCAGTTCCCGACGTGACCTCGTGACCTTTTATTCGTGACGTGATACAAAAATTGACCCACCCAAATGTCACTTGGGAAGAAGAAACGATCGAACATCGACGAATACAGACATATACGCAACAAAAGTCAACGATATTATCGAATCCGTCTCGACGCAAAATGTGTGTCATCATAGGAGGGTTTCCGCATCGCATATATTAGGAGACGCAGGTTTTTTGGGGTTTTTTATCGGACTGGAAAATAATTCAGACTCATCCATTGCTCAGTATGAAGGAGGATATTTTTGCACGGCACCATTCTTTTTCATTGTTTTAAATCTGTTAGACGCTGACATTGACCACACCCAACGCCCTAATGCCGATGTCTTCAGCGTAACCCTGGTATTGGTGGCTCCCGGGTGCTATAAGTTGCCAAAGAGCAGCCCATGATTTGGTTCCAGGGCCACAAAAGGTTTTAAATTCTTAGTTGTCCTTCTAAGCAAATTGCCCTCTACGGCTATAAAGCTTAGTCTGCACTTCTGTTTATTGAAGAAAAAGAGTTTGAGTTCTACATTTCACAAGGATACTTGTGCCTTAGTGAATATTACGAACTGGACAGCAATTCGAAATCTGCTCGCATTTCTCATCCGCTAAATCATCCATTATATTATCAATTTAAACGTTATTTTAAGTGGATGTCCATATTTGAGTAGACGCCTCGTTTACTTCAAATATACAAATCTACCATTCGTCTTTACATTGAACACTGTTGCCGTATATAGTCTAGGACCCCCGCTGTTCATCTCGAGGTCCTCGACAAAATCCAAAGACGAATATGCAATGTGATAGGTCCTGATCTGGCATCTCGTCTACAGTCACTTTCTCACAGACGTGATGTGGCTTCCCTCTGTCTTTTCTACAAATATTTTCATGGTAACGGCTCTGACTAGCTACTTTCACTGGTACCCCAACTACCTGAATTTAAGCGTTCTGACTAGGTTGGCGTCTTGGTCCCACCCTTTCACTGTGGAAACGGTTAAATGTAACCGCCTCTTCTACTCCAACAGCTTCTTCTCTCGCACTTCCCGACAGTGGAACTCTCTTCCTATTACTTGCTTCCCTATAATCTTCAAATGTAATGTCAATCGACATCTTCAGATGCCTTGATCCTGATACCCGTCCTTCTCTTTATCCTTTTCTCAAACACCCCTATTTACTCTTGATCTAACTCCCTGTAACCCCTTGTGTGCTAGTGTCATTCCTGCCTTTTTGGGGGTGAAATGCTTTAAAAATATGTATTTTTGTCTACTGGCTTCAATATTAGAGAAATCATCTTAAAAAAAAAAAAAATATGTGTTCTCAGACAGGATTCGAACTCTCGTCCCCCTTGGCAGGAGAAATAGCAGTTAGATCCATGTTTTTGACTAGCTCGACCACGAAGGCCGCCGAATAGTGCCTTATAAGCACAATCCCTTTCTAGATCTGAACGTAAAGAAAACAATTTCTAAAGATTTTTATATTTATTAAATAGACAGATTTCATCTATTATAAATAACACACACAGTATGGTTTCAGAAATATCTGTTTGTCTCCCTCTCTCTTTATATATATATATATATATATATATGTGTGTGTGTGTGTGTGTGTGTGTGTGTGTGCAACAGCTGCTCGACTTGATGAAATTTTTATGAAATCCACTGTCGATTTTTTCAACGGAAAAGATCTTCATAGCTAAAAGCAAAGGAGAAGCTATCACATCTCCGCCGCCGCCGCCGCCGCCGACGCCCAAATCTTCCCTGCCACTTATTCCCGTCGTCCCTCGTCTGCAGCTTATCAGCTGAGGCTAAGGTCATAGATTTCACTTCCTGTACAGGTCATCTCCAGATTAGAATTTCCGGCCATAAATTGGCGCGAACCGCACATCCAGCACGACCAGCGACGAACCCCTTCACATCTTGGCTGCCTCATCATGTCAAAGACGTTCTTCCCACAACCCAATGTGTGCGGCGCAAACCCCACCATATATATATATATATATATGTGTGTGTGAGTGTGTGTGTGTGTGTATGTGTGTGTGTGTGTGGCCATAAGATCTGTTTTCATGTTAGAATATATGAGCTATTAATGAAAGATATAAAGAAAAGTGTTAGATTCGAAGAATATATGTGTATATATATATATATATATATATATATATATATATATATATATATATATATATATATATATATATATATATATATATATATATATATAACCTGAAGAAGTCCTTTAAAGGTCGAAATGTTACACATGACTTGTTTTCAATTTTTGCCATTAAATTCTCCACTAGATTTATTCTCTCTCTCTCTCTCTCTCTCTCTCTCTCTCTCTCTCTCTCACTCTATATATATATATATAATATATATATATACCCAACGTCGATAGCACGACTCGGAGTTTCATCCACACTTGCAATCTTCAGGTTCTATATTTAATAGCTCTGCTATATAAACACTGAGCACTCTATTTATAACATCTGATGAAGAAGTAAGTACGTGCAAGTATATGCGCGTATACGTATATTTTTTTATATTTTATATATATATATATATATATATATATATATATATAGTGTTATGCCAAATTATACACGCACGCCTGGCCTTTCTCAGCTATAAATAGGAGCAGGTACTACCATTTGGAGAGGGAAAGTTCCAGCAGTCAGCTCTGACTGTGGGACCCAACATTCTTGTCTATGTTTGTATTACTGTTTCTGTTAATATATTTAACTCAATTCCTCTCTTTGTGTCTTTATTACTGGCCCTAACAAGGCCACAACATAATGACATAATTTAGCACTTGAAAATATATTTCAATTGAGCACTGTTGAGTGATAAGCTTATTCTATAAACAACAGCCACCTGCATTAATGCAAAGCTCTTCAGTAAAATGAATCGGAGCACTCCGGCTGATTGGCATTTGTTTTCATTCGTAAAAACAATACGCTAGATTTATTTGCTTCTCTCTGTTGAATAAAGATAGCTCAGTGGTAGAAACTCTGACTGACATTTTGGGTTTTGATCCGGGCTTGAAGTATTCGGATGTCTAATCGCACTGAGGAGCTGTGATACAGCGAAACAGTACAGTCTGCGAATGACATATATATATATATATATATATATATATATATATATATATATATATAAAGTTAAATTTCAAATGGGCAGTGACCGACTACAACTGCGCTTTACCATAATCATCAGGGGCGGTCGCTAGTTGTGGTTTGTTAAAATAGGAACCATTATAACTCCAGGCGAGTCCAAGATGGTAAGCCAACCAAACTCGCTAGCAGTAGGGTATCCTATCCGGCCCAAATCAAAATTGTAAGGAAAAAAAGGCGCCAGAAATTCTTTACCGGGGCGACAAAAAGCGTGGTAACTTTTGTGGCCAGGTATTATCAAGCACTTTTTAGCTTGAATCTCTAAGCTCCTCTATGACGTTGGACACTTTTTTTGTCGCACCGGTAAACCATTTCTGGTGGAACCCTTTTTTTTTTTTTTTGATCTTGTCCGGATAACTTACCCTTCCACCGTCTGGGGAATTAGGTTAACAGATATAAGGGTTGATGTGGTTGCAGAAATTGTCTGACAGCCTGATTTCTCCTGCGGCATGGTGCAGAGTCCTGTTGGCAGACAGAGAGTCTTCCAGCAACCATCCCTCTTGACCCAGGGCAGCATTACCTTCTCAAGGCACTTGATGTAGGAGTCCGGATTGAGTCTGAGACCCTGATGCAAGATGAATGGAGGCAGAACGTCACCGTCACTAATGATCACTCCAAACACCTTCGTAATCACTATTAGACTCATCCAACTCTTTCCGAATCCTCTGCACTGTCCTCGGATTGACACCCAAACACTCAGCAATGTTTGTATTGGGGGTTCCGGCGCTAATGCCAGGAAGCAAGGCATGCTGTTTTCAAATTTCTGGCAGAGTGAATTGCATCATGGTGCTCTTTTTCTCAAAGATGGTGCCCAACTGACCCCACTATACTGTGCAGTCAACAAAATCAAAAACAAACAAACTTAATTAGAAATATAATATGCGAACCCATCGCATCCTATATATATATATATATATATATATATATATATATATATTGTATGAATGATTCATGTAATTTATATATATATATATATATATATATATATATATATATATAAATGATCATCATTCAAAAAACAAATATAGAGGTTAATGTATTCTCGCCATTTAAATCATTAACTTCTATATTTGTTTTTTGTATGAATGATTCATGTAATTATAAATTAAACTGCACCTATAATCGAAATTATTATATATATATATATATATATATATATATATATATATATATATATATAAGTATATACTCTTCCGAAAAACCTTGGGAGGTGTATTGGCTTGTAAATGAACAAACCAATACCTAAGGAAAAATAAGGAATAAAAAAGAAAGAACGTGTAATTGAGGCGAAAACAATCGACCAGAATCCAAGTTCAGAATCCAAAGAAAAAAAACTCCGACAAGAGTAAAATAAAAATAACTAAGCAAAGTACCTAACTATGAACCTAAAGAGCCAGGCGTACCCTGACGATCCGCGTAGATGAAACCTAGGTAGATTTGCCTGGCTCTTAAGGTTATATATATATTGAACAATAAAAAAATATTAAAAAATTAAAATCTTTAGACACACTGGATTGTAGATTAATATTCTTTCGTTTTTTTTATTATTATTTCATTTAGATTCCTCGACTAGTTTCGACCAAAATGGCCATCATCGGGAGAAGAAATATATATATATATATGATGTACAGGTCTCCAGAACATATATCGATAGCAAAATACCTATCGGACAATAGTCATTTTGTTTCAGACCAGGTATACGTCATTTATATCAATTCATGGAGATTTTTTAGATATTAAGGACATATACGCCGACATTGGAAGAAATATTTGACAACCCTAATATATATATATATATATATATATATACAGTCTGTCTGTTCGTTATCTATCTGTCGGTTTATATATATCTATCTCGGTCTGTTCATATCTATCTATCTATCTATCTATCTATCTATCTATCTATCTATCTATCT